TGTAGATCACCTTTAATTTCTGCCATGTATATTAGTTATTTTCTGCATAATCAGCAATTTACCTGGGGTGATAAATGGTCATTTTCTTGTAAAATATTATACTTACACAAATTTTTCCTTCCAATAACCACCCCTTAAAGCACCCTTCTAAACACTATAAGCACTTCAGAAAGGCTGTCGCTTTTGCTTTTCGGAAGTTAGAGCTATGTCGGCACTGCCGTTTCAGGGCGGGGTCATTTTCAGGACTTTCGTCCAGGATTCAGGTTTTGGCACATATGCCATGTTGACCGCCATGGTCATTTTACCCTAAAACAGTTGAGATTACCTGTGGTAAATGAAACGCATACAAACTCATATACAGGTCCTAGACTAAGTGTCTGGTGCATATATCGTCGTAGATATTCAAGTTGTACCGCACGCACGGAAACGCACGGAGGAGTCTTGGCGTTTGTGTGATAACAGATAGCTAGCTACACTTCGACATTATCTTTCTTGATTGTTGAGTTTCAGCAATGTAAATGAAATGAATCCTGTGCTTTTATACAGTCAAAATAGCACTATTGTTTACACATGTTGGCGATGTTTGGGAAATCAAAGGATCCCGTTATAAAATAAATCTTTTGTTTTGAATATCGGACAGGATACACTCCAACTATAAAGAACCATATCGTTCGTTTAATACCGTTTGATCGATCAGTCTGTGTAGAAGATATGTATGTTTCTACGGCGATACGTGCTAAACTTCGCAAGCCAGGCGCGTGTGGAGTGTTTTCCTTCCAAGTGAAATATGATCCAGCTTCTCGCTTGAAATGTAACGCAACACTTATTGTTGATGACATTCAGTACAGCAGGAAGTCTTTGTCATGATCGGTACGAATCTAGAACGTTCCTTTCACAATCTCTTGTTGCAAATTACATTTTTATCACCCGAAATTATAACACATAAAGTTGCAATTTTCCAAACGCAACAAACACGCTTCTCTACCTCCCGACCCATAGTCAAATTATACGTTTACCCCCAGAATCTGGGTGTGATGTAAAGAGCCTGGGAACGAGGTTGTCCTATTTCCCCCAATTTATTAATGTGCCCGCTCTTACATAATAATTTTCACCATTTTTAAGTACAATTGCCAAATTTGTAAGTACAATCTGCTCGACATCGACTTTCAAAAGTACAAACAGCTGGACCAAAAATTTCTCTGCTACGCCTATGCTCAGGGCCTTACATAGCTGGGGGGGGCAACTGCCGCCCCCCCCCCCCCCGAGAAAACTATATTTATGATTTTTAGAATGTCATTAATTATTCTTTGGATATTTGGGACTTTTTTCGGCATATAGGCCTTCCTGCCCCCCTGGTAAAAAAATCCTGCGTACGGCCCTGCCTATGCTAATGCATGACATCTGGATATACTCTATTAAGATATCATGATCTGGAATGCCGGCAAACATCAAAGCCACAGAGTAGAAGACCTTTGTTTGATGTTGAAGTAGAACTGTACCTCACCATTGCACAAATCCTTTGTATCAACTTCATTCAATATTATTCATCGTCAGCTATCCCCATTGGACGGTTACTTAATTATACGAAAATACAATGAGCTCAATCACTGTGACTGTGCACAAATCAACATAAACTCAGACAAAAACAATAAACATATAAAGGCCCATCTACATGATACGACTAGTCGTATACGATTTTTATCCTGGCGTATGTACTCAATTAAATGTGACATGTAATGATGTAAAGATGTTACATTTCAAACTTTGCCATAAACTGATGAACATGAATAGTGGCGTCGACAATCGTTTTCATACGCCAGAATGACAATCGTATACGACAAGTATCGTGTAGATGGGCCTTAACAAACACTTCTGTTTATTTTCCATCATACCATCATATCTTTAATAATAGACTATGATCTGGAGGACTACTTGAATCGACCCACAACTCCAGTGCCCCAGTTAACCCTGAACTCCAGTTTCTTTCATTATATGCAAATTTCTGCTATGGGTCAATATTAAAGTACAATGGTCTACAAGAATTGAGCCAAACCAAATATTAACATGTAAATCAATCTATGATTAAAGCATATAAAATACCGTTCATTTATCACCTATACTATAGTTTGTATTCGCGGGTATTCAATAGCAAGATGTGATCGAATTGATAAACTTGGCGGTGGAGTTTGTGCTTTTATTAAATCAGACATCCCGTTCAAAATTCTAACAGAATTTAATGACATCAATTTTGAAACCTTATGGATCTATGTACGACCTTATAAACTTAATCGAGGCTTCTCGTGTTTGATCGTCTGTGTGGCCTATAAACCCCCATCCAGCGACAACGCCGCGTTTATAGATCACCTCAGCTCAACACTTGACCTCGCTCTCAGTAAGTACCCAAATGCAGGTATATTTTTACTCGGAGATTTTAACAGATGTCCTGTCTCATCTTTATTAAGACATTTTACTTTGAAACAAATCGTAAAACAACCAACCAGGAAAGATGCTGTCCTTGATCTTATTCTTACTAATATGTCAGACACATGTGACCCTCCTAAGGTGATCGCACCCATCGGACTCAGCGACCATAATTCCGTTTTATGCATTTAAAAAAAATGTAAATCATTGAACGGATGCAAGAAAATAAAAATTAGACCCGGTAACAGAGGTGCCAAAGTTGCATTTGGAAGATGGCTAACGAACTATAATTGGACTAACCTGTATCGTACTGCACCGTGCGAACAAAAACTGGAAATTTTTCAGGATGTTATTCATACCAGCTTAGACCACTTCCTTCCATGTAAAGTAGTTAAAATGCACGACCGAGATAAGCCTTGGATAACACCTTCATACAAGGAACTTATTAAAAGCAGACAGAAGGCATTTTTTCAGAAAAATGACAAATTGTACCGGCGACTACGTAATCGTGCCAATCGAGAAAGTAAGTACCGTAAATCTGCATTCTTAGAACATAAATTGAAACAATTGAAACGTAACCCTGATCCTAAGAAATGGTGGGACACCGTAAAACAAATAGCTGGCTACCCTAAGAAGAAATCTTTTTCAAGTATGGTCCTAGGAGAGCAAGTCGTCTCTGGAAAGCAACTTGCTGAAAAAATTAACGAGGCTTTCGTATCCGTTACTCGAGATATTCCTCCCCTTAGTCCTATCCCTTTCCCCGATAGCCAATTAAAAAGCGATTGTACTACAATTCCAACCGAGTACATTATTAGGGAAGAAGACATTTATTATAAATTATCTTCAATATCATCCTCGAAAGCGGCTGGCCCAGATGAAATACCGAATCGGGTCCTAAAAGATTATGCGCCCCTGCTGTCTTCCCCTGTTACTTCAATCTTCAACGCCTCCCTTCAACAGGCGTTTGTTCCCGCGGTATGGAAAAAAGCCGACGTCATCCCTGTACCTAAAAATAAGGTGCCGAAGGACATTACTAAAGACTTGCGTCCCATCTCGCTTACTGCCACTTTGTCAAAAACGTGTAAACGTTTTGTCGCAGACTGGATGATGGAGTTGATTGGTGAGAAGATCGATAAACGGCAATTTGGATCTCTAAAAAACTCTTCAACAACACATGCATTATTGAGCCTTCTCCATCACTTATTAAATGAAACTGATGTGCCGAAAAACGCTGTGAGAATTTTTTTATTAGACTTCTCCAAAGCTTTTGATCATATCGATCATAACATCCTCCTCAGTAAATTATCTGATATGGACGTTCCATCATTAATAACAAACTGGATAAGAAGTTTTCTTACTCAACGAAGCCAACGGGTCAGAATGCCCCATTGTGTGTCAGAATGGCAAATTCTCAACGGTGGAGTACCCCAGGGAACTGTTTTAGGCCCAATCCTCTTCCTAATCATGATAAACGATCTCCTCGCTGATTGGAAAGACCGATGGAAATACGTTGACGACACCACCACTACCGAAACCATTGGCCCAGATTGTAACAGCAACCTTCAAGAACTGGTTAATTACATCAATAATTGGACTACGAGTAATAATATGAAATTAAACATCGGAAAATGCAAAGAACTGGTTATTGATTTTGCAAAAAAGAAGCATTGCTTTCCCCTTTAACAGTCGATAAAGTTAATATTGAACGAGAGAAATCTGCCCGTATCCTTGGCCTCACAGTCCAAGATAACATGAAGTGGAATAAACATATAAATAACATAGTTAAAAAAGCTAGCAAGAGGCTCTATATGCTAAGACTGCTAAAAAGGTCCAACGCGTGTATTGACACGTTAATTACTGTATATACTACCATTATTAGGCCTGTTTTAGAGTACGCATGCCAGGTCTGGCATTACAATATCCAACAATATTTATGTGACGATATTGAAAAAATACAAAAACGCGCGTTGAGAATAATCCTCCCATCGCAAAAGTACGACGAAGCGCTGATCACGACTAACATCCCGTCACTGAGAGATCGACGAGAAAAATTATGCGAACATTTCTTTGAGAAGAATATTGACAATGAAAATCTCAAAGATCTTTTACCACAAACAGTTTTATCTGGATATGATCTAAGATCGATATGTAAATATCATAATTATGTTTGCAGAACCGAACGTTTTAAGAATTCGTTTTTACCTCAAAGTATATTAAAGATTAACAGTAAATAAGTTTTTAGAAATGTAAATAATCTTAAATATGTAATTATTATGTAATTTTAACTTATCCTCTTAATTTATGTAATACTGGTGTAATTTAACCTTTTTGGGTTACAAAGTCAGTAGTCATTAAATCAATTCAATTCAATATTCTTTTAACAAATTATGCGTATTTAAGAAGATAGCGCTGCGCATGCGCAGAACGTAACTCCTTACGCTTGCATTTTTTGGTAAGACGATGTTAACAAAAGTTGTTCGTCTTGATCAGGGCTACAACTTTGCTTAATATCCTTTTAACAAATTATGCGTATTTAACAAGATATTGCTGCGCATGCGCAGAACGTAACTCCTTACGCTTGCATTTTTTGGTAAGACGATGTTAACAAAAGTTGTTCGTCTTGATTAGGGCTACAACTTTACTTAATATTCTTTTAACAAATTATGCGTATTTAAGAAGATAGCGCTGCGCATGCGCAGAACGTAACTCCTTAAGCTTGCATTTTTTGGTAAGACAATGTTAACAAAAGTTGTTCGTCTTGATCAGGGCTACAACTTTGCTTAATATCCTTTTAACAAATTATGCGTATTTAACAAGATATTGCTGCGCATGCGCAGAACGTAACTCCTTACGCTTGCATTTTTTGGTAAGACGATGTTAACACAAGTTGTTCGTCTTGATGAGGGCTACAACTTTGCTTAATATCCTTTTAACAAATTATGCGTATTTAACAAGATATTGCTGCGCATGCGCAGAACGTAACTCCTTACGCTTGCATTTTTTGGTAAGACGATGTTAACAAAAGTTGTTCGTCTTGATGAGGGCTACAACTTTGCTTAATGTCCTTTGAACAAATTATGCGTATTTAAGAAGATAGCGCTGCGCATGCGCAGAACGTAACTCCTTACGCTTGCATTTTTTGGTAAGACGATGTTAACAAAAGTTGTTCGTCTTGATGAGGGCTACAACTTTGCTTAATATCCTTTTAACAAATTATGCGTATTTAACAAGATATTGCTGCGCATGCGCAGAACGTCACTCCTTACGCTTGCATTTTTTGGTAAGACGATGTTAACAAAAGTTGTTCGTCTTGATGAGGGCTACAACTTTGCTTAATATCCTTTTAACAAATGATGCGTATTTAAGAAGATAGGGCTGCGCATGCGCAGAACGTAACTCCGTACGCTTGCATTTTTTGGTAAGACGATGTTAACAAAAGTTGTTCGTCTTGATGAGGGCTACAACTTTGCTTAATATCCTTTTAACAAATGATGCGTATTTAAGAAGATAGGGCTGCGCATGCGCAGAACGTAACTCCGTACGCTTGCATTTTTTGGTAAGACGATGTTAACAAAAGTTGTTCGTCTTGATGAGCGCTACAACTTTGCTTAATATCCTTTTAACAAATGATGCGTATTTAAGAAGATAACGCTGCGCATGCGCAGAACGTAACTCCTTACGCTTGCATTTTTTGGTAAGACGATGTTAACAAAAGTTGTTCGTCTTGATTAGGGCTACAACTTTACTTAATATTCTTTTAACAAATTATGCGTATTTAAGAAGATAGCTCTGCGCATGCGCAGAACGTAACTCCTTAAGCTTGCATTTTTTGGTAAGACAATGTTAACAAAAGTTGTTCGTCTTGATCAGGGCTACAACTTTGCTTAATATCCTTTTAACAAATTATGCGTATTTAACAAGATATTACTGCGCATGCGCAGAACGTAACTCCTTACGATTGCATTTTTTGGTAAGACGATGTTAACAAAAGTTGTTCGTCTTGATGAGGGCTACAACTTTGCTTAATATCCTTTTAACAAATTATGCGTATTTAAGAAGATAGGTCCGCGCATGCGCAGAACGTAACTCCTTACGCTTGCGTTTTTTGGTAAGACGATGTTAACAAAAGTTGTTCGTCTTGATGAGGGCTACAACTTTGCTTAATATCCTTTTAACAAATTATGCGTATTTAAGAAGATAGCGCTGCGCATGCGCAGAACGTAACTCCTTACGCTTACATTTTTTGGTAAGACGATGTTAACAAAAGTTGTTCGTCTTGATGACGGCTACAACTTTGCTTAATATCCTTTTAACAAATTATGCGTACTTAACAAGATATTGCTGCGCATGCGCAGAACGTAACTCCTTACGCTTGCATTTTTTGGTAAGACGATGTTAACAAAAGTTGTTCGTCTTGATGAGGGCTACAACTTTGCTTAATATCCTTTTAACAAATGATGCGTATTTTAAGAAGATAGCGCAGCGCATGCGCAGAAGGTATCTCCTTACGCTTGCATTTTGTGGTAAGACGATGTTAACAAAAGTTGTTCGTCTTGATGAGGGCTACAACTTTGCTTAATATCCTTTTAACAAATTATGCGTATTTAAGAAGATAGCGCTGCGCATGCGCAGAACGTAACTCCTTACGCTTGCATTTTTTGGTAAGACGATGTTAACAAAAGTTGTTCGTCTTGATGAGGGCTACAACTTTGCTTAATATCCTTTTAACAAATTATGCGTATTTAAGAAGATATTGCTGCGCATGCGCAGAACGTAACTCCTTACGCTTGCATTTTTTGGTAAGACGATGTTAACAAAAGTTGTTCGTCTTGATGAGGGCTACAACTTTGCTTAATATCCTTTTAACAAATTATGCGTTTTTAAGAAGATAGCGCTGCGCATGCGCAGAACGTAACTCCTTACGCTTGCATTTTTTGGTAAGACGATGTTAACAAAAGTTGTTCGTCTTGATTAGGGCTACAACTTTGCTTAATAATTTTGAAACCTTATGGATCTATGTACGACCTTATAAACTTAATCGAGGCTTCTCGTGTTTGATCGTCTGTGTGGCCTATAAACCTCCATCCAGCGACAACACCGCGTTTATAGATCACCTCAGCTCAACACTTGACCTCGCTCTCAATAAGTACCCAAATGCAGGTATATTTTTACACGGAGATTTTAACAGATGTCCTGTCTCATCTTTATTAAAACATTTTACTTTGAAACAAATCGTAAAACAACCAACCAGGAAAGATGCTGTCCTTGATCTTATTCTTACTAATATGTCAGACACATGTGACCCTCCTAAGGTGATCGCACCCATCGGACTCAGCGACCATAATTCCGTTTTATGCATTTTAAAAAAATGTAAATCATTGAACGGATGCAAGAAAATAAACATTAGACCCGGTAACAGAGGTGCCAAGGTTGCATTTGGAAGATGGCTAACGAACTATAATTGGACTAACCTGTATTGTACTGCACCGTGCGAACAAAAACTGGAAATTTTTCAGGATGTTATTCATACCGGCTTAGACCACTTCCTTCCATGTAAAGTAGTTAAAATGCACGACCGAGATAAGCCTTGGATAACACCTTCATACAAGGAACTTATTAAAAGCAGACAGAAAGCATTTTTTCAGAAAAATGACAAATTGTACCGGCGACTACGTAATCGTGCCAATCGAGAAAGTAAGTACCTTAAATCTGCATTCTTAGAACATAAGTTGAAACAATTGAAACGTAACCCTGATCCTAAGAAATGGTGGGACACCGTAAAACAAATAGCTGGCTACCCTAAGAAGAAATCTTTTTCAAGTATTGTCCTAGGAGAGCAAGTCGTCTCTGGAAAGCAACTTGCTGAAAAAATTAACGAGGCTTTCGTATCCGTTACTCGAGATGTTCCTCCCCTTAGTCCTATCCCTTTCCCCGATAGCCAATTACAAAGCGATTGTACTACAATTCCAACCGAGTACATTATTAGGGAAGAAGACATTTATTATAAATTATCTTCAATATCATCCTCGAAAGCAGCTGGTCCAGATGAAATACCGAATTGGGTCCTAAAAGATTATGCGCCCCTGCTGTCTTCCCCTGTTACTTCAATCTTCAACGCCTCCCTTCAACAGGCGTTTGTTCCCGGGGTATGGAAAAAAGCCGACGTCATCCCTGTACCTAAAAATAAGGTGCTGAGGGACATTACTAAAGACTTGCGTCCCATCTCGCTTACTGCCACTTTGTCAAAAACGTGTGAACGTTTTGTCGCCGACTGGCTGATGGAGTTGATTGGTGAGAAGATCGATAAACGGCAATTTGGATCTCTAAAAAACTCTTCAACAACACATGCATTATTGAGCCTTCTCCATCACTTATTAAATGAAACTGATGTGCCGAAAAACGCTGTGAGAATTTTTTTATTAGACTTCTCCAAAGCTTTTGATCATATCGATCATAACATCCTCCTCAGTAAATTATCTGATATGGACGTTCCATCATTAATAACAAACTGGATAAGAAGTTTTCTTACTCAACGAAGCCAACGGGTCAGAATGCCCCATTGTGTGTCAGAATGGCAAATCCTTAACGGTGGAGTACCCCAGGGAAATGTTTTAGGCCCAATCCTCTTCCTAATCATGATAAATGATCTCCTCGCCGATTGGAAAGACCGATGGAAATACGTTGACGACACCACCACTACCGAAACCATTGGCCCAGATTGTAACAGCAACCTTCAAGAACTGGTTAATTACATCAATAATTGGACGACGAGTAATAATATGAAATTAAACATTGGAAAATGCAAAGAACTGGTTATTGATTTTGCAAAAAAGAAGCATTGCTTTCCCCCTTTAACAGTCGATAAAGTTAATATTGAACGAGAGAAATCTGCCCGTATCCTTGGCCTCACAGTCCAAGATAACATGAAGTGAAATGAACATATAAATAACATAGTTAAAAAAGCTAGCAAGAGGCTCTATATGCTAAGACTGCTAAAAAGGTCCAACGCGTGTATTGACACGTTAATTACTGTATATACTACCATTATTAGGCCTGTTTTAGAGTACGCATGCCAGGTCTGGCATTACAATATCAAACAATATTTATGTGACGATATTGAAAAAATACAAAAACGCGCGTTGAGAATAATCCTCCCATCGCAAAAGTACGACGAAGCGCTGATCACGACTAACATCCCGTCACTGAGAGATCGACGAGAAAAATTATGCGAACATTTCTTTGAGAAGAATATTGACAATGAAAATCTCAAAGATCTTTTACCACAAACAGTTTTATCTGGATATGATCTAAGACCGATATGTAAATATCATAATTATGTTTGCAGGACCGAACGTTTTAAGAATTCGTTTTTACCTCAAAGTATATTAAAGATTAACAGTAAATAAGTTTTTAGAAATGTAAATAATCTTAAATATGTAATTATTATGTAATTTTAACTTATCCTCTTAATTTATGTAATACTGGTGTAATTTAACCTTTTTGGGTTACAAAGTCAGTAGTCATTAAATCAATTCAATTCAATATTCTTTTAACAAATTATGCGTATTTAAGAAGATAGCGCTGCGCATGCGCAGAACGTAACTCCTTACGCTTGCATTTTTTGGTAAGACGATGTTAACAAAAGTTGTTCGTCTTGATCAGGGCTACAACTTTGCTTAATATCCTTTTAACAAATTATGCGTATTTAACAAGATATTGCTGCGCATGCGCAGAACGTAACTCCTTACGCTTGCATTTTTTGGTAAGACGATGTTAACAAAAGTTGTTCGTCTTGATTAGGGCTACAACTTTACTTAATATTCTTTTAACAAATTATGCGTATTTAAGAAGATAGCGCTGCGCATGCGCAGAACGTAACTCCTTAAGCTTGCATTTTTTGGTAAGACAATGTTAACAAAAGTTGTTCGTCTTGATCAGGGCTACAACTTTGCTTAATATCCTTTTAACAAATTATGCGTATTTAACAAGATATTGCTGCGCATGCGCAGAACGTAACTCCTTACGCTTGCATTTTTTGGTAAGACGATGTTAACACAAGTTGTTCGTCTTGATGAGGGCTACAACTTTGCTTAATATCCTTTTAACAAATTATGCGTATTTAACAAGATATTGCTGCGCATGGGCAGAACGTAACTCCTTACGCTTGCATTTTTTGGTAAGACGATGTTAACAAAAGTTGTTCGTCTTGATGAGGGCTACAACTTTGCTTAATGTCCTTTGAACAAATTATGCGTATTTAAGAAGATAGCGCTGCGCATGCGCAGAACGTAACTCCTTACGCTTGCATTTTTTGGTAAGACGATGTTAACAAAAGTTGTTCGTCTTGATGAGGGCTACAACTTTGCTTAATATCCTTTTAACAAATTATGCGTGTTTAACAAGATATTGCTGCGCATGCGCAGAACGTAACTCCTTACGCTTGCATTTTTTGGTAAGACGATGTTAACAAAAGTTGTTCGTCTTGATGAGGGCTACAACTTTGCTTAATATCCTTTTAACAAATGATGCGTATTTAAGAAGATAGCGCTGCGCCTGCGCAGAACGTAACTCCTTACGCTTGCATTTTTTGGTAAGACGATGTTAACAAAAGTTGTTCGTCTTGATGAGGGCTACAACTTTGCTTAATATCCTTTTAACAAATGATGCGTATTTAAGAAGATAGGGCTGCGCATGCGCAGAACGTAACTCCGTACGCTTGCATTTTTTGGTAAGACGATGTTAACAAAAGTTGTTCGTCTTGATGAGCGCTACAACTTTGCTTAATATCCTTTTAACAAATGATGCGTATTTAAGAAGATAACGCTGCGCATGCGCAGAACGTAACTCCTTACGCTTGCATTTTTTGGTAAGACGATGTTAACAAAAGTTGTTCGTCTTGATTAGGGCTACAACTTTACTTAATATTCTTTTAACAAATTATGCGTATTTAAGAAGATAGCGCTGCGCATGCGCAGAACGTAACTCCTTAAGCTTGCATTTTTTGGTAAGACAATGTTAACAAAAGTTGTTCGTCTTGATCAGGGCTACAACTTTGCTTAATATCCTTTTAACAAATTATGCGTATTTAACAAGATATTGCTTCGCATCCGCAGAACGTAACTCCTTACGCTTGCATTTTTTGGTAAGACGATGTTAACACAAGTTGTTCGTCTTGA